GTAATCAGTTGTTCACTTACAACCATTTAATTTTAGTTAGATTTTTAAATGTTCTATAATTTGGAAATATCTGTAATTACCTGTGGTAAAAATATTATACTTACATTATAATTAGAATCTAGTTACAAGACTTTAATACGCAAGAAAAAGAAACTAAAAATTATCCTAAAGCTTCTAGATAAGATGGATAATATATTTAAGATGGATTTAGCAAATGGATAAGAAAATAGAACAGTTTAATCTATAATAAGTTTTGGAGCCTCAGGATGCTGTCCTATTTTACTTGACAGGAGAAGTCTCTTTATTTTACTTGACAGATGATCTCTTACTATATCCGAGAAAATTAGTATCTATCTATAGAAGGTGCATGACATTATTGATAAAAATTGTTGACTGAATATTGACGCATCATAGACACATTGACACGTCTTTGTAGTTTTTATTAACAATAATTATTCAAAATTAATGAGATTTCTAATAATATTAAATTTAATGTCATATAAGCACAAAATGAATAAAAACTTTGGCTTAACTGGGAAAAGCTAGTTAAAATTACACATTAAAAATTATTTTTAAATTTGAATACTTTGTATATCGAAAATTAAATTGAATAAGAGAAAATATATTACAGTTTCCTTTCTAAAACTAATTAAAAATAACCAACAACAATATTTGACAGCACCTAAGAAACACCCAGTAATATACTGTCATACGTAATTTATTTTGGGAAACTAAATCATGGTTTTCGGGAGAGTTAGGCAACCTAAAGGGTATTTGTGGGTTAATGTTGGTCATGAAACTTTGTAGTTATGAAGAAAAAAGGCTAATAATTGTAACCTACATCATATTTTTTTGGAGCATTTTGTATTAGCTTACATAAAATGTGATTTTTAATTAAGCCGTTCTTAATTACATCAAGGTCTTTATTGATTTTTTTCATGGTACCAGGGAAGTTAAAACTAGAATTACCATGAGGAAAAACAGTTGAAAACATTGTACTTTCTCAGAGTATCATCAGTTTTTAGATAATTTATCACCAACGTTAAACGCACTAATTTTATTTAATCAAAATTTAATCAAAATATTTTAGCTTCAGCTAATAATCTTATAAGCTCGAACATTTCTTATAAGGGATTAATAATGGGCCCGCTTTTATTCAAAAATCTTCACGATTATGAAAATATGGACTATTAGGAACTATACGAGTGAAATTATAATTAAGAAAATACTTTGATATTTTGATTTTCTGCCACTCTCGGGAACTTCCGCATCACTGTGCGGCGGTAAGGCACCCAGGTTTCACTTCCATATAACATGGTGAGGATTATTATTGCTCGGTACACTGCAAGTTTCGTCTTTGTGCTCAAGTCATTAGAAAACCCTGTCTTTTAATTTTCAGAGCGCGATTTTGAGGCGCTGCTAATTCTGTGCTGTATTTCTGAGTCGATATTGGCCTTTTCCGAAGTCAAACTGCCGAGTTAATTAAATTCCGCTACATATTTCAATAGTTCTTCACCAAATTTTATAGCACTGTTATGATTTTCCGGGGGAGTGCACATTATTTTAGTTTTATCGATGTTCAGGTTAAGACACAAAACCCCGTATGCCCAGGTATATGGTATATGTGCTCAGCAGTTCTTGTAATTGCTGTAACTTTTTTACAACTAGAGCGCAGTTATTAGCGTATCAAAGTTCTGCGATGAATTTTATGGCAAAATGAATAACAATTAATTGACAGACATACATATCCGAAGCTGTCATCTATGTTGTTAATCTATTTTTAAAGAAAAGTAGTATTTATATAATACTAGCTCCCGTATATAGCGTTTAACGCCTTGGGAGTAGCAATGTACAGCTTGCCATGCTAGAGCCATTCGGTATTCAAGGAAGGTAACCAAAGTAGCAAAATTACGTTGTTCAATGTAAGCACAACGTCGCCAGGAGCAGCCAAACGTTGCCGGACAACGTCGAAGCGACGTCTAAGCGACCCATATTTGCACCAGAATGGTGGATGTTTTTAGGGTCGCTACAAAGTCGCCAACGTTGGCCACGTTTTTCATGCCGATTCGCGATATTTTGAGGTTAGAGTTAACCCTTAACTGGTCCGGCGTCGTCTGACAGACTACGCCAAATAATTAACTCATTCTCATTAGTTACTGGGACCGCCCACACAATTGGTGTTCCACCTAATCCTCCCCCTCTCGGTCAACTACTGATAGCCATATTTATGCCCAAACTGGATTAGTTTTTTAGAAGTTATGGCAGAAGTTACTTAAGCCGTAGTCTCTCAGACGACGCCGGACCGTGTGCGTAAGATTTTGTGTTTGACAAACTTTTGTAAAATATGGCCGGGCCTTCGAAAAGAGTGCGTTTAGGAGACTCTAGTTATGAAGAAACTATTAAAATGATATGATGAGGACTGTGACAGTGACAATATGACAATCTGCCAGACAAATGCGTTTGACAATGTCCAATATTCCAAGAGAAATATACTTTACAATTGGTAGAATACTTGCAATTCCTGTACAACCAGAACACGCCCACGGAGATATTCTTATCCCAGAGTTCTTATCCTAGTTAAAGATAATGTCCTAGTTTAATTATTTTTAATGCCTAGAATGTACGAATCCATTTTGTAAAACATGTTCAGGAAAACAATGAACTTTGCCTCATGCTGTAACTAAAAACCTTTTCTTTAACTTCAGTTTTATAGTTTTTTTTTTATATATAGTACTAAAAACATATTTCTGTATTGTAATCACTGTTAGTAATTTGGTTTAATTTTTTAGAGCTTAGTAAAAATCAAATTGTTTTTTTTTCAAATTTATATGTATGTTATTTTATTTTGTACTATATTTTCTTAAAGTTTATATTAATTAAACCCATTTTCGTCTATATTAGTTCAATAATACATAATATAATATATAATAAAATAAAAATTTGTTATTTTTTAGTTCATGTGTGTTTTTTTCACTTTTTAGAAGGCGTAGTCCCACAGACTACGCCGGACCGTTTATGATACATATCTTATTACCGGACCAGTTAAGGGTTAAAAATATTAGTCGTCAAATATTACTATATTCAACCACGGGGGAACCAAAATATTGATTTCGATTAACTTGGTGATGGCTGATGATGTATGAATTAGAAATGGAATATATTATGCTCCATAAAGAAATAACTAGGTGAATTTAACTTCGACAAATCTGCAAAGTTTTGAGATGTCGGCAATCGAAATTCATCAACGAAGATTAGTTTACTGTTGAAAGTGACTATGATACTTCCAAATATGGCAAAACCCCTTTTTTATTTCTTAGTTTTAATTTTATATATAGTTTACTTGGTTAACCTAACTTTTTTTTTTAATTTTGAGACAAATATACGAAATCTATCAGGAAAATTAACTTACAACCCTAACAGATATAGTTTTTTAACGAAATTCGCAGTATTTTGTGGTTTCTGATATTTTATTTGATTCGTCCACAACGCATGAAAAGATAGTTCGTATTAAAATGGCGGAGTTGCCTAAGGCAACCTTTAAAATACCAATATAGTGCATAAGGTGCGGTAACCGACCCTTGGGTCACCTATGTCAACCTTTGGTTCAAAAATTGACACCTGCTTTGACGAAGTTTGACCTCTGAACCCTACCGACATCTAGGAGGTAAATAAGAAAATTCCTTCTTACAGTGCTCTTTTTTACCTAGGAACAATAAAATAAATATGGAGTGTAGAGGTAAGGAGAAATAACTCCGTGCATTAAAAAATAGTCAAAAAAAGGGAAGAATTAGGATGGCGCTGCTGTAGCAAGATTCTAAAATTTAAGACATGCGCCGAACATTTTAGAACAGATGATTCAAGACATAAATATTTGACGTGAAGCAAACGCGAAGCCGCGGGTTTAAAAAAAAATACAATTTTATTTTCATGTTGCATGAAATAAATTACAGATTTTTATTCAGCAGCAATAGACTAGGCCCTTTTTTATTGTTTCTCATAAGTTATTTCGCAAATCTCATTCAAGATGAAAAAGCTTTAGAATTTATGTTAATTATAATTAGGAAAACTTTATTAAAAGTTTAATTGATGATATGGGATTTAAATAGATATAATGCAGGTCAAAAATAACGTAACACATTTTATTTAGTATAAAAATTAAGCCAATATAATATAATTTTATACTGTACAAGTATTTATTTACGTTTTGCCATCGTAGTTGCCATTCATTCAGAATAGTGGATTTTAAATGTTCGATAGTTCGGATGGCTTAACTACCTTAATATCAACTACTTCTAGACAAGAATCGTGTGCAGTATTATCTTTTTTCACTCCCAGCTATTCCAACATGGCTTGGGACGTGAAATAATAATATAATTTTATAGCCCTTCCAGATGCTCATGTCTTCTTCCTTTGTAGTTCACCCAATAGAATCGTTCTCGCAGCTTCCTCCCAAGTTGGTAGTTGCTATTCATTCAGAATAGTGGATTTTAAATATATTTGGTAGTTGGATGGTTTAACTATTGTAACTATAACTACTTTTAATAATTCTTTTTCTCAATTCTTTGCACTATAATTTGCATCCCACGTGTATTGTAATATTTTCCTTTGAATTTCTCTGGTTTCCTATTGTTCCATGGCTTGAGACGTAATGTTATAGCCCTTCCAGATCCTCATGTATATGTCCCTTTTCCTTGTAGTCCAATCCCAATAGAACCTTTCTCTTAGCTTCCTCTCAAGTTGGTAGTTGCCATTCATTAAGAATAGTGGATTTTAAACATGTTTTGTACTGGATGGTTTAACTACTGTAACATCATAAATAAATTGTATACCAACACATAATGGCCAAAACTCTCCAACAGACTTATATTCACAATCCTCATCAGAAGAAAATATTTTTGATCCAAAGTTTCTTTTTCGTTATTAGAATAAATTGCCTGCAATTTGTTAATTCATTACAACATTGAATGAAAGATGCAAAGTGATTATACATACTATAATAGATAAATCTTCATTTTAAAGTATGTGATAGATCTGCTTGCTTGTAGGATCTAGACTCATAAACTCAATAATTTCTTTTATTGATATAACCAATAAAGTGGTAATGCTGAAATTTTGTTTTTGATTTGAGCAGTGGGGTCCATTATTTCCATTATTTGATGCTGTTATTGCTCTACAAAATGTTGATCTTTATCAAGGGATGTTTATGTGTATAATATTATTATTTATGCGTATAATAATACTGTATGATCGAAAAAACACGGCGTCCAGTTAATTATGGATTTCGACAACGAAAATACTTTTTTAAAAAATTTTATTTTTCATAAAGTATGTTTAACAAATACAATGAATACAATAGCTAAGAACAGAATGACAATTTTAATGCGCTTGGTTATATTTATAAGTTCGGTTTCGCTCGCGTCTTCGTGGGAAAACCATGCTATTTCCTCTCACATAACTAGTTGGCTTGGAAATGAACATCTCGATGACATTCTCCATATCATTTTACATATAAAATGACAGCAATCTTCATTTCATAGGCATCGCTGACGCCGTTTTTATTTGATCAAATTGTACTTACGTGTATAATATTCATTTAATGGTTCCTGTTTTAGTTGCTGGTGTTCATATTTTGGTTTTTTATTGTGTTGTTGCTCTATAAAATGTTAATATTTATGTGTATAACATTACTTTTTCTGTGTATAATACTTATGTGTATAATATTCATTTAATGGTGCCCTTCTTGCTTGTTGCTGTTGTTGCAATTCAGAATTTAAATTAACCTGAGGCAGTAGGTAGAGCTTCATCCTCCAATATTTTCCTATGTAAATACTGAAGTGGACAGTATTTCTGATGACAATTTTATCATAAAACTTTAACATCTTGTTCTTTAAAATGAAACTGCCATACCTTATCTGTAGATTTTAAAGCAATATCTAAATGCTTTTGACCATCACTGTAATCTAATTCTTGTCTGAAAATCAATACCTAATATTATCCTGATGATTTTGATTTTTGATAGATTATTAAAATACAGCACTTACAGTTAACTATATTTCTTGAAAGTACCTACAATTTTATGTATTTCCTACTTTTACTTGTTTAAAAAAAATGCCAACAATTTGTGCATGTCTGTCAAACTTTAAAATCATTAAAAATAAATTTTATTTAGGTTGTAACTTTATAAAAAAGGATTGTAAAAATATACTTTGTAACATGTATGTCAATAATCTTACGAAAAAAATGTTTACTACACTTTTGATTGACTTCAATTTTTACATATAATACAAAATAATACAATACTGAATTATATTATGTATTTTACATACCGTAGGCTTTGCCTTTGCTCTTTATTTTTAGATCAGTTATTCAATCAACTTCTGCACCACACACACTTTAACCTATTGTTAAATAATAAATAAAGCACAAAAATATTGATAAACAATAATTATTTTATATTCAAAAAACTCTGTCTGGAAAAATAAAAACAAAATTTTTTTGGGTAATGTTTGGTTATATTTATTTTTATTCTCTTATCTATGGTTACTTTTCATTTTTTAGATTCATGCGTTTTTAGCGCCACTGTGGTTATTTGGCGAACCCTTATTCTTCCCATTTTGTGACCACCTTTTCAATAAAAGTCCCGTAAGAGTTATTTCTCCTTAACTCTGCACTCCATAAATATAAAGAAGAAAGCTGGGTCATCTATTTGGTGGTGGTGCTCGCTGACTTTCTTCTAAATACTTTTTCCTTTTTCTATAAAAAGTTGTAGAGTATTTATATACTTTTTTCGTATACATCTTTTTTTCGCTTTACACAGTAAGTAACACACAATAGATCTTTAAGGTCGCGGTGACTAACTCCCCCCCTAAACATTCTACATTCTACACAGTAAGTACCACAGAAAAAATATCTAACCAATTGCTCTGTGACAGTACAGTACAGAATTTTTTGAGGTTAGGTGTAGATAATTCCCCTTCCACAACAAAAATCGATATCGTCGCTCTCGTCGCCGTAATCCAAGGTAGTAATTGGTTATAATTTTGAAGTTGCTTTGGGTCGTTTAATGAAACGTTGTATTACGTTGTAGTTAGCATGTACTTACACTCGTTATTTAAAAGTACGTTGCACAACGTTGTACTACGTTTGTTATTCTGTAGTACAATAAACATGCCTTCTAGCGACGTAATGCCAACGGTATAAAACCCAACTTCTAACAAAGTTGTGCCCTACAACGTTTACCAACGTTGTTAAGGGTCAAAATATACAACTGTTTAAGTGCAACGTCGTAGCGACGTTTTGCCTAAGTAATTTGAGGTTTGGGTATTCATAGAGTAGGGAAAAGTACCAATTTCAACGTTGCGCGTAGTCAAAACTAGTCGGAATTTTGTTACTTGGGAATGCTAAATGTAGTATTTAATTTTATTAATAAAATTGATATATTATACAAAACTGACAGCATTATACGAATTATACAGAAAATAAAATAAATATTGATAAATATTTTTCCAAAATGGCTCCTTTATTTTGTTCAATAATTTCTAGTTAAAAGTTTATACAGGAATAAACGAAAATCATGTATTTTAGTCCCACCTACGATACACGTATTTACACAACCGAATAAACAAAGTATCCAATTTCCGTACAAACAAGTAGAAAGAATAACGTAGTTGAAAAGTAATTACAGGAAAATCAGGTAGAACATATAACCGAGATTAGCAAATACAAAGTTTAATAGTAAATTAATGGCAAACTTCGAACTGAACAACTTCTGAAAGCTCCCACCGAAGCTTGTTTAGATTGATATATAAACTTCCGTTTGGGCATTAAAATTCTGTTTTAGCAATGGCCAAAGTTGGCTTTGGCCAACTCGCTGCATTAATAGTGCAATTTGTAGGTTGGATTGGGATTATTTATCAATAAGTTTTAATTAATTTCTACGTATTGAACAGTTTAGCGTTAATATCAGGAGAATAGAACTGAAATTTAGGTTTGCCGGAATATACTCATTCAAATGGCTAGAATTAGAATAACAAGAAATAAACAGAAATCAGTCTCTGTTACAGCGTATTAATGTTCTATACAGGGTGATTCCTGTAAGTCGGTCATGCTTTCGGGGAATGATAGAGGACGTCGAAATATTAATTTTGATATAGCACTATGAGTCGGAAATGCCTCTTACGCAAGATACAGGGTGTTAAAGTTTTTGAAAAATTAAATATATTCTTTAATAGTTAAAGGTATCGTTATAAAATTTTATTATAGGAGTCTACCAAACAGAGACACTTTAAATGTAAAAAGAAGAGGTTTTAGTTTCAACCAGTGGCGTAGATGTGATACGCATCGGGTAATTTTTGCAAAAAAAAACAGTACGCCACTTATAAACAATAAAATGTTTAGAGTTTTTTTTAATTACTCGATTTATTTCCAAGCAAAAATGTATCTTGCAACTTTCTAACACCATTTTGTCACAATTTAAAAATAAATACATTTCTTAATGAGAATCTTTTCTCTTTAAATAAATTTTTAAAAAATTATAAATTTAAACTAGATTTTTTTTATTGTTAATAATAAAATTCTTAGGTTTAAGGTAGTTATAATAATTCGCATATTTAAGATTCGCTCTAAAAAGTTATTTATTTTTAAATTGTGACAAAATGGTGTTAGATAGGAGAAAGTTGCAAGCGACATTTTTCTTCGAAATAGACCAAGTAAATAAAAAAACTCCGAAATTTTTACTCTTAATAAAACAATACACTATTGTTCGGAAATAGTCATAAGTCGAGAATGAAATTAGTATTATGTAATGTCAAAGTGTAAAGTACTTACTGCAAATCAAAATGTCGGTAAGAATTTGGAAACATACAACCGTTTCAAAAAAAATAAAACATTTTGTTTTCTGACAACGATTATAGATTCTCGGGTATGAAGATATAGTCTCTATATCAGAAGAACCTATGTAGTTCTGTACTAGTCTGCGAATGATATGTATTCGAACAGCGAATTTTTGTCACTTATACATAAATTTTAAAATAAATTCTTGCCTTTAGCGGTCTTATGGATTCACACCAAATTACTTTAAAAATCGGCTCAACATTTAAATTGATGAATAGGTATTTTTATTAGTGATGGGAATAATCGAATTATTTTCACCATCGAATAATTAGTAATAATTCATATTTCACAATCGAATTAATAATTCGAATTATTTAGTAGTATTATAAATTTAACCTAAAAATAAATTCGTCCCAGCTAGCGCTCGTCTAGGGGCTATTTTAAACAAATCTGAACCATTGCCATACCTATATTCTATCACTGAATAAAAAATAAAAAAAAAATTCTTTATTCAATGTATTCTATTAACTGTGCCGAAGCCGTTTAATAAATTAAACCATAATTTAAAGTTTTAAATTTAAAGGTGCCGAATTTATGATTGTTTCAATCTAAGGTTTCAATTCCTATTGAAAAGCTCATATCTAAAATAAAAGCTTCTTCTAAAACGATATAAGTATGTCCTTGTTTACGTGCGGTTCGTATTTCTTTTTATTTTATCAGTTGCAATCAATAATTATTTAGATAAAAGAAGAAAATTAATTTTAGTGTTCGGTGAAATTTGGGTGAGATGGAAATGAACCAAATAATAGTAGTATTCTTTCGTTCTTAACGAAATGAAAATTTTCACTTAAACTGATTTATTCCTACGTGGTATAGGAAATAACAATGATTTCTGGATTTTTCTATATCGGATCGTTCCTTTCTTTGTCGATTTCCTTTATAAATCAGTTTAAGTGAAAATTTTCAGTTCGTTCAGAAAGAAAGAATACTACTAATAGTACTATACTAATTACTAATATTCGTATTCGTCCATAAGAGGTTATGTTTTATGTTCATTTGTAATTCGGTTACCACAGATATAATATAAAATACTACTAATTTTTATCTCGATTATATCGAAAAAGATAATTCGAATTAGTTAGTTTTAATTTACTATCGAATTAGTCGTATTATTTAATTCGAATTTTCCCAACACTAATTTTTATACAGTTTTATAAAATTTACAATTATTTTTCGATTTATTATCTGTTATATCTTTTATAGAAATATTTTTATAGCTTTCTAAGACAGATTTTTATAACTTACAGTTATTTTTTGATTTATTATAAAATTTCAATAAAATTCATTTTTTGATTTGGTAAAAAAACATTTCATAAAATAAAAAAAAATAATATTTATAAAAAACTTACCAGAAATGAAACAATAAAAAATAAAAATATATAAAGAAGTATATAAATTATATAAGGAAAGTTAAATAAGATGCAGTCAGCCATGAACAGTATTGTTTCGCATTGCAGTCATTTTCGTTTCACAGGAATGTCAATAAAAATACAAAGAAAAATATATTAAAAAATTCTAATCTGATAAATTACAAATGAACTTAAATTGTTATATTTGTCAAACGTATTTTGAAACAACAAGGAAATTTCTGAAATAAACATCATTACACAAATATCATAGATAGATATTTAACTTGAACTATAAAAACAAAATGGCCAGAATTTAATTTTCTAAAAGAATTTCATCTGGACGGTTTATTTTCCTTCATTGCATTTCAGAAGAGAATGCAGAAAGAAAATTCAACTTTTGCCAAGCGCGTTTTGTTCAGCTTCTAATTTTCCAGAGGAAGATGTAAGTAAAACTTATGCCTAGAGATAATTGAGAAAATAAAAGAGATGAAACTAAACTTTATATTTTTCTATTTCCGCATAAAACCTAACTTGGAGCGAGCGAACTGTATTATTTTATATTAAACATTTAGCTTCTAACTAGTTTTAATCAAATAAATTTCTAAAGAATATTGATCACAATTTCTTACGTTAACTAATACCCAAATTATTATTTTTTATTAACCGCTACTCGAGCCTTTACGAGATACGGTTTGTTTTTGGTGATGCTTGAGCAATATATTTGTTTATATTGGATTGCATTAAAAAGCATAATACGTTTCATTAATTGCATGCAATGTTATAGAAAGGTGCCGGGTGGCATAGAGGTACAGGGTGGGTCAAATTCGACGCTTTTAAA